GGAGAAGGGGAGAGGGAGGGAAGGGGAGCTGTGCATGACCGCCTGCAGACCCGCTAGCATCTCAGCAATCTCATCGCTGGTGTAGGCGTCCTCCACCAGCCTGCGTGACAGATAGAGAGATGCTGACTCACAGAGAGAGAGAGAGAGAGAGAGAGAAAGGCAGGAGCTGTCCCTCAGGAAACACGGTCAGGACTCCTACACACCCGCCATACATACCTGCTGTCCTTCAGATCCTCAAAGTTCCCGTCGACGGCCTTGATTCGTTGCGCGCGTTGATATTTCGCAAACCTCATGTAGCTGAGGATTTGATCCATGTGATGCTCATTCACTCCGAGATCGCTCTACACACGAAGTGAAAACGCTGCGCTTACATCACAATTATAATAGTTAATACCCCAAAAATGAGTAAATGTCATTCTCATTACCAATTTAACATTAAATAATAGCGACAAAATAATAAATATGCAAACACGCTTTATAACTTACACTTGGAGCATCGAGTTCAATACTGACAGTGAAATTGTTGTTGTTGTTATTCATTCATTATATTAGTGAAATTGTGAATTACCATTTTCTGAGCGAGTCCAGGCGGCTTCAAAATGGAGCTATACTATACTCTATAGTCTGTCTAGATACTGTATCGCTCACTGCAGTGAAGAGGTTGCAGCAAGACCTCGCAAAAATATGTGCAAACAATAAAATATAGAGAAGACGTATCCTGTGGGAGCTAGAAACGATAGATAATACTGGTAAAATAAAGTAATGTTACTACTACTAGTACTAGACAGAATTTTGTTTGACGACGAAATTTGTTTACATGTTTCGCGCAGTGCACGCTGGGAGAATACAATATTCCAGTGATAATTTACACATGCCGCCTAAATATGATGTAAATAATATTCTTACTTTTTTAATAAATTATGTACAATAAAAATGTATATATGTTTACACAAATAGCGTTACATTGGCTTGTTTCTTTGAATTTTTCTGCTAGAAACATTGGACAGCATTCTGGGTAAAGTATTTCTCACCCTGTCCCCGATTTCGTGACAGGAAGCTGAGTGAGCTGACCTCTTTTTCCAATATGGCCGCATCTGGTATGTTAATACACTTAAAATCTTCCAAATTTTCGGCCGCTAAAAGTTTATATAGATGTTGATTTTAAAAATATCCTCAAAATCTTAAAGTTAGCTCTGTAATCTATGTGTAAGCTCAAAACGATATCCGATTATGCGTAATTTTTCACGAATAACGGTTCTACATTCCACTAGTCAAAATGATGGATCCGTTCCAGCAGTTCAGACAGTAAATACTAAAGTGTAAAAGCACGTTCGTTTGATGACGAATTTTGTTAGAACTAGCGCAGTTTAATATTTTCATAAATTCTTATGCATGTGTGTCCGAATAAATGAGCAAAAATCGCGTGTGGGTTTCCCCGTAAAACTTCAAATGATTTTGCCCGATTTTTTATTATAGACAGGGAACCCACGTCACACGTGTATCTTTGATTGCGTCATTATTGAAACGATCTACCGTTATGCACGCATCTCTGTATATTCATTGTTGGTTAAAATGTTTGAAGATCAAGTCAACTTGGTTTTCTTATTATTTAGGATAGAAGCCAATGTGAGAAATCTTGGCCCAAGGATAGAGAACATGGGTCCCAATAAAACCAATGTGCCTAACCCTAATCCTAACCCTAACCCTAACCCTAACCCTAACCCTAACCATAACCCTAACCTATTATATTGATATAATACTATATTTATATTGATGTAAATGACATTGGTTTTATTGGGACCCATGTTCTCTATCCTTGAACCGAAATCTTATCATATGGTGCGGCGTTGTATTACTATTACGTCACTGGTAATAATGAAACATAATCGTTTGTATTGCAGGCAAGGCAAATAAGAAGCAAAAGGGTAAAACCCTATCACTAAATGAGTTCCTTGGAGCGGAAGGTGGGGGAGGAGGCGCCGCCCCATACGTTCCCAAAAAACCGACCCTGGATTGGGCCGACGAAATGGATAAAAATGATGGTGAGTTTCTAGGTTCCTGTTGCAGTCGGAATTAATTGGTAGATGTGTAGTACCGAGAGTTGGATAGGGCAGACCAGAAGCAACAATGTGTTTTCAATCCTTCAAAGTCTCTTCACAATCAAATAATTTTTCACTAGCTAATTAGTGCTAATTTGTATCTGCTCTGAGGTCACAAATACGTCACAAACTGTTAGCGTCCTTATCATAATATCTTCTCAACTAAAGACTGTCGGTGATTTCATAAATCATACCCCTTTACTTAATATCAGGGTTCTCCAAGAGCACTTATAGCCTGGCGGCCCGCCAGGCTATCGTCGAGCCCCGCCATTCTAAAATGCACCCGCCACTCTAAATATCATAGCCCCCGGACCCCCCTAGCACGCAAGCCGCCTTCGGCGATTTGCAACTAGAACCGTAAAGGCAGCACCCGCCATGCTATAATGAAAAAGCTTGGAGAACCCTGAATATCCCATTTTATATTTCTTAATGCATCTTAATTTATCACATCGTATATCCCCATTTTCTGTATTTCAATAATATTATTCTTTTACCCAATACCCCGATTTATATTTCTTTACGCATTTTTATTCGTTGCTCCCGTTTTTCTGTATTTCTGCGTCGCGCGTTCTGTGTCATCGTTATCGCCGCGGTTACCTTTAACAGACGACGACACCTACATGGTGAAGATGGCGCAGCTGGATCGCGCGGCGTTGCCGACGGCGCCACGGGCAGCACGTGGCCCTAACGTCGACCTAAGTGCTGTGCCGACAAAACCTCCATTTAAGGCATTCCTCGGCAATCTGCCGTACGATGTGGACGAGGAAGAAATCGAAAAGTTCTTCCACGAGCTCAGGGTAATTAGCTCTACATCGTTCGCTACTGATGTGTATGTATGCGTGTGTATGTATGCGTGTGTGCGTGCGCGTGTGTGCGTGTGCGTGCGCGTGTGTGCGTGTGCGTGTGTGTGCGTGCGCGTGCGCGTGCGTGCGTGCGTGCATGCGATTCTACCTTGTGCGGTTATCTAACGAGCGATGTTTCGTTCTATCTATCTCTGTCTCTCTATTTTAACTTTCAACACAGGCGAAGAAAATATTCGTGCAAAACCAAAACCAAAAATATCCCACTTCAACTAGTTAGTCAACACACTGTATTTCCTGCATCCAACAACATAAATCATAATTACCACACAAAAGCCCAACAACAAAACATGAACACAGCCCTCTCAACACCCGCCCTATACCTCAAAGCTCCGAAAACTTTCTAACCTATTTCCCAGTGAAGTGTAGTGGCAGAACAGGGTGTACAACATACCTTCTCCATCTCCATCTTCACAGATGCGACCTTCTTCTCTAAATCCGACACTTCCGCCGTGGCTGCTTCTGGCTGTTCTCACGAAAATGACAAAATTCTTGTTACAGATAGAAGGCATCGCTTCAACAAGTTGTTATTATTACTATTATTATGAAGTCTTTCCATGTAATTGCATATACGTCACTTGCGTCTAAAATGTATTGCTTCAACATTTGTAATACTACACATGTGATTATTATTACTATCATGTTACTATTGTATCATTATTAAAACTTTATTGCATATAATTCAAACACAAGTACACATACAAACACTGATGTGCAACTATATGCGTTAAAAATCTAGGTGCATTACAAACATCATAAATAGTTAGGACTAAAATGTCGAATATTTTGCACCTTGACACGTCTGTCATGATGCTTGAGAATTATTAGACAGGTTTTTTTCACAACCATTTCTGATGTTTCTTGACGCTTTGTTTTTTGTTAAAGTTCGTGACCGCCCCGCGAGCAGCATTGCCCCACGAGGCATGACATCAGCAGTGTCAGAGGTCACGTAAGGTCAGGGTGTAGGGTGCCTACCTTCGACGATCTCATCTGTTGTAGTTCCGCCGTGGTTCTATCCAGCCCTGCAGTCAGTTTACTCTTATCCTCCAAGATCAACGACGTCTGCAAGATAAGCACGTAAAATCCCATGAAAATATCCCGTAAAATCTCAGCACTGTAGGGACAGCCAAGAAGAGTTCAACGATTGTGTAATTATACACTCAATAAAACATTCCGTTACGATCTACATCAAATACATCGTATAGATTGACATTTATCCAAACCGATGGGGAGCTTTCTAATAACTCCTTCATTCCAGTGACATACAAATACACATAGCGATCGGTTTAAGGATACAGACTCTCTATATATATATGTTATCTAAACAACATTTACTTCATAGATAGAAGAAACGTACTTGGGTTTCCAACGCCTTGAACCGATTACGTAGTTTTTCGTTCTCTCCAGTCAGACGCTCAATCTCCTGTGGAAACGAAAACGGAAAGCTAAAGTGGAACGCTTAAGGATTGCACAAGAATCATGTTTCGTTTGAAAATTATAACAAGACCTCGCTACTGCCATAAGATCACTTTAACTTATATACGTATATAAGTATATACGTATATATATCTACATATATACATGTATATACGTATATATATATATGTTCTTCTTTGTTTTCTACTGCTCCTTCTTCTTCTTCTTCTTCTTCTTCTTCTTCCTCCTCTTCCTCTTCTTCTTTTTCTTCCACTTCCTCTTCTTCTTCCTCTTCCTCTTCCTCTTCTTCTTCTTCTCCTTCTTCTTGTTCTTCTTCTTCATCTTCCTCTTCTTCTTCCTCTTCTTCCTCTTCCGCTTCCTCTTCTTCTTCTTCTTCTTCTTCTTCTTCTTCTTCTTCTTCCTCTTCTTCCTCTTCCTCTTCCTCTTCTTCTTCTTCTTCTTCTTCTTCTTCTTCTTCTTCCTCTTCCTCTTCCTCTTCCTCTTCTTCTTCTTCTTCTTCTTCCTCTTCTTCTTCCTCTTCTTCTTCTTCTTCTTCTTCTTCTTCTCACTTCTTCTTCTTCTTCTTCT